ACAGAGAGGAGGGGACATGGCTTCTGAGCCTATCTGTTGTACTGAGCCCCAAAGGGCCCGGGGAAACTATGGATATAATGGTGAACATAGGGTTCTAAAGGATGCTTTAAAAAGGCACGTGTTGCCAAGTCTGTTACTCTGGATGACTTTTTTAAAGCCTTTAAGAACATACTCAATTTCATTTCCTGTATACCTTTAAACAGTTCCTTCCTCTTTTTCCTCTTCTATTTTCTTTTCCTTTTTGGTTCTCACAGGCGTACCCATTTGCTTAGAACTACTGTGCTAATCACAGCGTTTGGGACTTTACTTGTCCACCTCAGTGTTCCTGTTTATTCCCCATCATCTCCCCCCCACCCCCATGCCTGGTACTTAGCTATGTGGGTGGATGGCAAATGAGTTACGGGAGTGGTATTTGAGGGGATCTAAGTCTAGCTCCGAGAGAGAGAGAGAGAGAGAGAGAGAGAGAGAGAGAGAGAGAGTGCTGGGGGAGGGGGGCAGGGTGAAGAGCAGCGGAAGGCCTGGAGTCCATGTGCAGACCATCAGTACGGGTTTGATGCTTTAGCGGCAAGGGCTTTCTAAACCACTATGTTCAAGGGCATGGCGACCATTGACCTGAACTTCAGACAGCCACTCTGTCAATCACAAGACTGGAGGTGGCAGTATTCTGTTTTGAGTCACAACGGCTCATAGGTGATAAGCGTACCCGCATCATAGCGTTGTTGTGAAGCTCCTGTGTCAGTACATGGAGGAGAAGGCCCAGGACACAATAAGCCTCAAGTGCCAGCTATTATTATTGTTGTTAGCAGAATGGGAATTCTTATAATATGCTTGGTCAGTAGCACGTCCTGCAGCACACTTGCTCTGTAGACAAGGTACGATTGTTACCGTCACTCTGGAGTGGGGCTAATCTGTTTCTGGGGTCCCCCCTCCTGGGATATCCATCATCACAGTGACTGGCAACCCCTGGGCTGGTTACTTTATGGCCCAAACAGAAGGACTTCCCTAGAGATGTAATGTGTTCTTGGAAGTGGAGCCCTCACCTGGGCTTGTAACCTGGAGTGCACAGCCTGGCTTAACCACACACAGCCTGGCTTAATCACACACGGCCTGCCGCTGTACTGAGTGAGACCAAACTTGTTTATCCCCGAGGTTCCCTTAAGAAAACGTTCAGGGTTGGAGCGTAGCTCAGTGGAAGAACATGTAGTCCGCATGTGAGGTTCTCTGGACCCAAAGAGAGATACTCAGAAACATTCAACAAAACGTTAAAGTTAATTTCTTATAGAAAGAATATCTTTTGTTTTGTAATTTGGTCCAGGTGGTAATCCCACAAACCCAGGCTGATTGTAATTGGTCCTCTCCCTTTCCCTCGTATCAAAGGTATAATTTAGACATTGATAACCTTCCTCTGGACATTTTTCCCCCACAATTTCTTGTTTTGTTTCTTTGATATCTGTCATAAGTTAGAATAAAAGTGTGCCAGGCGTCTATGCACAGGAAAAGGATGCAGTCCCGTCCCACAATTCCAGCATCTGACTGGAAAGGGACGAGTCCTGGTCCACACAGGTTCTTGTGCTCGGAACTGAGGTTTCTTTTCACTTTTTAAGTCTGTGTCCGAGGCAGAGTTTGTCACCCTGGCTAGCTAGCCTGGGATTCCTAGTGTAGAGCAGGTTGGCCTTGCGTTTGCTGGTCTTCCTGCCTTCACCTCCCGTGGTCTGGGGTTACCGATGTGGTTCCTTCTTTTCAGTCTTCACAGCAGGTTTTGAACTGGCATACCATCTCCCCGAGTCTGCTCTAGGTAGCACGATGTGATAAGGAAAGGTTTGAATCTGAAATGAGAGAGGGGATAGAAAAGGTAAGACCCGCGTCGAAAGGGCCCACACCGCTTTGTTCAGTCCGTCACATCTTCCTGGAGCCCCTCCCGTGCACCAGCCTGGTGAAAGTCACTGTTGACAACAGAGCCGACTTGGAATTAGACTCTCAGATCCTCCAGTTATAAACTGTAGGAGCTCAGTGCTTTCTTTTTATGAGTTGGAAACCTATTTTATTAAAAAAATTTCCAAACTAAGAATACATTAAATTGCCGTACTGAGGGCCATCAAAGAAAAATGACATTCTCAAATATTTTCAGAGAAAAAATTATTCATAAAGAAATACTATATTTGTCTTAAAAAATCATCATATCAGCACAGGTGTCACCAGGAACAGTAGATGGAGATAAAAGAATATTTTTAAAATTTATTTACTTATTTTACATCTCAACCAGTTTCCCTTCCCTCCTTCCTTCCCATTCTCTACCCCAATAAAGGAATATTTTAAGGCCCTTATCAAGTTTCAGTTGAATAGAAAACTAAATCTAGGGATACGTTGTGATATTTTTCTTACTTAGCTTTTCTTGTACCTCCACACCTTTAACTGTCAAGTTAAAAATGTCAACAGTGCCTCATAGGACTGTTGTGAGGTTCAATAATTAATATGGTGAGATGATGAAAATGATGGAGAAGATGGTGATGGTGGTGCTAACTTCAGGGTCGTGGTTTAGCCAGACACAGTATACACACGTTGTGAGTTCTTGTGTTTAAGCTGCACTGTGATGCCGAGGGATGGTGGTGGAGTGTGGACAGATACACAGAGTTAAGGAAATTATGGTGTCTAAGAGGAAGAAGGCATTGTGGGAGTGGGCCCCCTCTCGGGTCAGAGAAACGCTCTAAAGGATGTGATGCTTAGCTGAGCTCTAAAGCAGAAGCGAAAGCTAGCTCGGCCAGGGGAGGTCTCTCTGCAGAAAGGGGTGAGGCGCAAAGCAGAGCTGTGGTGTTTGGGAGCTGGGGAAAACCAGTGCACCTTGTGAGGGTTGTGAGGAGGTGGTGAGATGTGACTCGCCACAGAGACGGAAAGTAGACTGTGGGAGACTTGTGAACCATCTTAAGGAGTGGGCTTTACCAAGACCAAATACTGTCCTCAAGACTTCTGATCTTGTCAGCCATCGTAATTCGGTGATATAAGTGCTATGAGCTCCTTTTTGTTAGTGGGCAAGACAAATCATTTGCCCAAAGACACAGGCTGAGAAAATTCAACAGCCAGGATTTGAACCTTGGTCTCTTTGGTTTTTACAGTTAGAATTTCTTTGATCACTAATGCCCTTTGAGCTTGAAATCTGGCTGTTAGGAATTGGAGCTAACCTTGGTTTCTGTCAACCTCAGCTTGCTCAAGTTACATTCAGCATTAATCGACATTAGCCTCATGGACTATTGAAAATGAGGAAACAGAAAAAAAGGTTAAGTATAGTGCAAGGCATATAGGCGGTGGAGTCACTGTTCGCGGGCTCAGATTCTTGCACAGAGAAGTGGTTTTCCTCCACAGTTCCAGGGATATGAGACAGAACCCTGGGAGTCTGTCTGCCTGTTTGTTTGTCAGGCATCTTTCAAGGACTGCTGAAATCCACATACAAATCCCCCTACTTGGCAGGTTCATCACGTGGGATTCTCCACCTGCAATCCTTTGTCGCTGAGATTGAGGTCTCCTGGTATGAGTAAGCCTGATGCTTCCTCCCCTCAGCCTGCTAAGAACCCCTCTCTCTTTGACTCGCTGTCTTTCTCTTCTCCCTCCACTGGTCAGCCTTATAGACCAGGCAGTGGTAACACACCTTTAATCCCAGTAGCCACACTAGTTGACATAGAAACCGGGAGGTGCATGCCTTTAATCCCAGTGGGGCTGTTTTACTCTCTGATCCTCATGCAAGTTTTATTTATTAAAATACAAGTGAAATGCCACTACAGTTTGTCCTGTTCTGCCGGAGACACAATGATCTTCAGCAGTTAGCTAGAGTTATTCCTTAACTTTTGTTTGTTGCTTGCGACCCAGTCTCCCTACATAGCCCGGTTTGGCTTCAAATTCAAACCTCCTCTAGCCTCTGCCTCCTGAGTGTGAGATTGTTCCTCTACTTCCTAGTTGGTATTTACACATTTTCTTGTTGGCCTTGGGGCAGACGGCACGTGAGGAGCTCAGATTGATTGGCTCCATAATATCGGGCTTGGTGGGTACCAAGGTCTGTGCGAGACTTTTAGTTTTGTGTTTGGTTTTAATCTTGGTGATCCTCTAAGTTACACAATGGTAATATTCTTAGCACAATCAGAGAAGCAGATGCCCACAGCTAAGCGGTATGCCCATTAATAAGTCTTTCTGTCTACAGAGTAGACATTTACTAAGTGAGACTCTGTTCCAGGGCTAGGAAATAGAGCTGAAAGGCATTGTCCCTTTCTTCAAGCATAAGGCAGGCACTTGACGAAATGAATACGCATGGCGGGTGAAGTTCTGGCACGGAGGAATGGTAAGCAGTCCTCACTTTGTTTTCACCAGCCTCTTGAGGGAGACCAGCGAGATTCAGAGAAAACGAGAGGCTGTGCTGGTCTTTGAGGGACTCGGAGAGGATTCAGCACAGCTTGATGAGATTGGAAGACAGGCGCCGTTGGAGGTCATTTAGCACCGGTGTGGGTGGTAGGAGACAGAAATGGGAGAGCCGGGAAAGGGTTTTGGCCCCAAGATCCTAGGACTTGTGTGAGAGTGAGGGGCCTTTTATAATTTCTTCCTTTCATGTAGTCTCCTGGCAGCTGTCGTTTTCTTCATGCACAGCCTACTAGCTGTCTTCATCTCTGGACGGCTCTCCTCTCTCCCGGCTTGTCTGCCCTCCTGGCTAGCCTGGCTTTCCACACAAAAAGAAAACACACAGTTTATCGCTTGAAGACCTATAACCCGACAGCTTGGAGGGTTAAAGGTTACCAGGTGGAAGGGCGATGCGTGTCATCTGCCTCCTGCAGCTGGAGGTACCTCGGGAGAATGAAGTCCGCCTGGGACCAAACACCTATGTTCCTCTTTCGCTGGCAGCGTCACCAGAGGGGAGCTTTCAGCTGCTCTTCACATGAGTCAGAGCGCTAGGGGTTGGTGCAGCCTGAGTTCCCGGGGACGTCAGCCGGGCCCTGCTCACTGTTTCCTGTGTTTGCTTGCAGCCGTGTAAATGAGTATGGAAGATTATGATTTCCTCTTCAAGATTGTTTTAATTGGCAACGCTGGAGTGGGGAAGACGTGCCTAGTCCGACGATTCACTCAGGTAGGGGAGTCTGGAATCCGGGGTTGGGTTTGTTGGTCTCACCTGTCTCCCAGTGAGCATCTCTGGATGGGTGACTGGGCCCAGTGCTGACCTCTGGGCAGCAGGCTCTCACGGCACCCTTCGAAAGCGCCATCAAGTTTGTAGCCAAAGGTTTTCTAAATCGGCCGAGGGAGCATGGTGCCCAGGGCTTCTCCCTCACCTCATCTTGCTTCCTCATACGAAAGGGACAGGTGGTTTTGTTTTCAGTGTGCAGTATCAAAAATAGACTGGGTTTGAAAAAGTAGATCTGTAGTTGATAATCACCTAAAGGTGGAAACGAATGAATCTGGGCATTAAACTGAGTCCAATACCGATTAAACCTCAACTTTCCTGCTTGTGCCCATTCTCATCCAGACAACACAGTGAAGCCTTTGGGTTTATAACCAAACGACCTGCTTGTCTAAGTCTCTTAAGTAGGGATGAGCTGAGGGCAGAGACGAACCTGAACGTAACTGAATATGCTTTCTGATTTGATTCTCTCTCGTAGAATCCAAGTGCAAGTCCCCCCAGGGTTGGCCTCTTGAGAATCACTGGTCAAGGTTTACAAGTTTGTTTTTATATAGAAATTAGTAAAATTAAAAAAAAAATCATTCTGAAGTTGATTTTCTTCCCCACTGAAAAATCCAAAGGATGCCCCTTTCTGGATCCTCATGTATATGACATGATTTTGTGACAGGCGCCTTGGGAACATTGAGATGAGCTCTTCTGAGGCTTAAGGTAACCGCATAGGAAGAGCGGTGGCCAGGTGCTAGTCTCGATCCCCGCGCCTACCTTCACTAACCAGGCCTTCCCATTGCACGTAGCCAGCTGGTGAGCTCCCAGCCCCCCTTCACTGCCATCTGTCTGTCTGTGGAAAACTGGAGTGACAGATTGGGCAACCCAGACCGCTTCAGGGCTCACAGTTGCTGGAAATGTCAAGGTTTTTCCCTTGCGGAATGACCTCAGACAGGAGCCCATGTGTTCAGTAAGTCTCGGTCTGATGAAATCAAAAGTCAAAAGCCAAGCAGCATCTGGAGTTCAGACAGCTGTCACTCAGAGACACTGGAAACTCCAGCTGGTTTTACATCCACCTAACTTTAGCAGTCTTTCTTGCTTCTGTAAGGAGGACACGCCCACAGATTTTCCACAGAGAAAGGTTTGTTTCTTAGGGCTTTTTTTTAGAGTTTGCTTGACGGTGTCGTTTTCCTGAAAGGTCCCTTAGAAATTATTCAGTTCAGTCCTCTCCTGCAGATCCAGAGGGACCCAGTGACGTGCTTATGGTCTTGAGACGTATAGCTGGCAAAGCCTGTGTTTGCTCCTGCCAGCGTTACTCCTGCCATCCTCCTGTCCCCTCCTTCCTTCCCCTCCAAACAGGACACCAAGCAGAGTACTCTAATACCAGTTACCTCAGTCGGAGGACGGGGTGGGCGGTGAGGAGAGTCCACTGAGTTGGAAGCTGTGCTTAAATTTCACTGCCGTTGTTTCTTCCTTAGGGTCTTTTCCCCCCAGGTCAAGGAGCCACAATTGGAGTCGATTTTATGATTAAAACAGTGGAGATTAATGGTGAAAAAGTAAAGGTAAGAAGCTAAATTTCTAATAAACCTTTGACGTGTTCTCTAAGAGTTTAGGGGAGGAAGCACAGGCAGTTTCATGACATTTATTAAACCGCTTCATTCAATCCTAGGTTGCAATGAATCCACTGGGGTGGAGCTCAGCTGGCAAGAGTACTTCCCTAGCATGCAGGAAGCCTTGGAGTGAACCACCAGTCTAGGCATGGTAGGGCAGACCTGTCAGCCCACCTAGGAGTGGGTGGGGCCATTGCAAATTCAAGTTTTTTTTTTTGTTTTTTTTTTTTTTTTTTTGGTTTTTCGAGACAGGGTTTCTCTGTAGCTTTGGAGCCTGTCCTGGAACTAGCTCTTGTAGACCAGGCTGGTCTCAACTCACAGAGATCCGCCTGCCTCTGCCTCCCGAGTGCTGGGATTAAAGGCGTGCACCACCACCACTTTCAAGGTCATTCTTAACAAGCAAGTTGGGGGCCAGCCTAGGTTACTGAGGACCAACCTCAAGAGAAAAGAAAGAAAATACCCTGAAGAAGTTTAGGGAGGATACGTTTATCCTGATGCAGACAGTGGGGAAAGCACGTTTTCCTGTCGTGTCAGAAGTGATGTGAAGACAGAGTAGGAATTTCTTTTTGGATTTCAAAGCTGGATCAATATTGTTCTCTTCTGTTTGCCTCCTGACGCCCTCGTTTCCTTGTAGCAGTGTAGGTGATTCAGTCACATGACTTGCTTATGAAAGTCATCCTTCCTCCCACTCTGTCTTTACTTCCAGTCTCTAGAGGTCCAAGAGAGGACCTTTGACCTCTGTCTTCCACTTGGTGGCTTCTAGATGGTTTGGTACTTAGAAGAACTATAGTATGTCCAGAAACAGGAGGCAGTATGTGCTTTGAGTATGTATCCTGAGTCAGTGTCTCTGATAGATGCCTTTACATATGTTGCCATTGTTACTTTAATTCTTAGTATGATCTCTGGGAAGTGGATGATGTTGTCCTTAGTACACAAGCTTCAGAGGTTACTTTTTTCTTTTTTTTAAAATTACTTTATAAATAATGCCAATCAAAATTTCTACTTCCTCCCCTCCTCCCATTTCCCTCCCGCTCCCCCATACATTCTTCCTCCACCCCTCCAGTCCTAAGAGAGGGCTGGGTACCCTGCCCTGTGGGGAAGTCCAAGGCCCTCCCCCCTCTCTCCAGGCTTAGGAAGGTGTGCATCCAAAGAGAATAGGATTCCCAAAAGCCAGCACATGCAGTAGAGACAAATCCCAGTGCCATTATCATTGGCTCCTCAGTCTGCCCCAATTGTCAGCCACATTCAGAGGGTCACCAGTTTGATCCCATGCTCGTTCAGTCCTAGTCCAGCTGGATGGAGTTGGTGAGCTCCCATTAGCTCAGGCACACTGTCTCAGCTGGTGAACCAGTTAATTAATTTACTTAACCATGGCTGTAGCCTGGATGGGAGACAAGCAGGCTCTAAGCCTTGCATGCTAGCACCCTTCTAGTTCCATGGGGTCTCCTGAGAGCTAAGAGAGGAATGGAGGCGCAGTAGGCTCATCACCTTGCAGCAAGAGAAGGAGGTGATGGAAGAAAGGTGGAGTGAAGGTCCCAGAGAAGGCTTAGAGGTTGAGTGCATACTGCTTTCGTATGTGACCTGAGTTTGGTCTCCAGCATGTAGGGCTGCTCATGACTGTCTGATCCTTTCTTCTAGCTTACACTTACAGGCACCTATACTCACCTGCACATGTGCCTACACACACACACACACACACACACACGCACGCACGCACACACACGAAAGGAGGTAGTTTGCTGATGTATAATATGGCCATTCAGTTGTTGAAACTTCCTGGTCAGGTCTTCAGAGTCAGATCCCATGGGACGATCCCCGTCATCTGCAGCATGATGGGTAGTGGTACTAGAGTTGGTACCTAAGTCTCGGCCTAAGCATCCCACATTTGGTTTGTGTTATTTGCACCCTTCTCCCAGTCGATCGTTACTTCACATCCTATGAGTGCCTTGGGAAGGGTCAGAGAAGCTCCCTGGCATTCTTCCATCAGGTCATGAATACCATCGCAAGTAAGGGCTGAGATGAGGCTCCTGATGAGAGACAGGAACCTTTATCTCCTTATGTCTTGACTCTTTTCAATGGGTCCTTACCATAGAGACAGCTATATCAAGTATAATAGGGATCAGAAATATGGGACACTGGTTGTAAAAAATCTACATTCATGTCAACCAGAAGGCAAGAGAAAGTATTTAAAATGAAGAGGAGGAGAAGGGTGTGGGGACTGGAAGGAGACAGGGGCAGGCTGAAGAGACACTGGCATAGTTTTCTTTTATTCTAGAGGAGGTAGTTGCCAGCCTGAGGAGTCAGGAAAGGATGGCCACCTTTGCATGTGTTTCCCTCCTACATAGGAGTTCCCATCTGCATATGTACTTGTGAAGTCTTTTTTTTTTTTTTTAACCTGAAATGTTAGTGCCTACCGTGTACCAGGCTTGGGCCAAGAGCAAGGAGAAAGAAAGGGATGGTCCCGTGGTTACAGAATAGGCTCTTTTCCATCCATGCGTTCCACGCTTTGGCATTCCATTTGTTCTGTTTTTGGAAACAATAATTTAAATATTTATTTTTGTTTCTCTGTGTGTATGTGAGTGCACATGAGCACAGCTTACTTGTGAAGGCCAAAGAACACCTCATAAGAGTTCTCTCTTTCTACCGTGTGGAGTGTGGGCATCAAACTTGGCCCTTCCCCACTGAGCCATTTTGCTAGCCCTGACCTTATTTTTCAGTGCTTATTACATGGCTAAAGTTCCATATATTTATTTACTTTTTTTTTTTTTTTGGCATTGGATTCCACCACAAGACCACAGGTTCCCAAAGAGCAGGGGTTTTCAACTTACTCATCTTTATATTCACAGCTCAGTTGTTGCCATTAAGACCTCTTAAGATTTCTAGCATTTCATAGGAAAAGGGAGCTGGCCGATCCAGTTTAAGCTGCCTGTGATTTATTTGTAACCCAACATGTAAAATAAGATATAAACATAAAAGACTGTGGAGAAGGAAAAAGCTGTAGAATGATGCTATTCAATCTTATGCTTTGATTTTTCAGCCTATCACAAGCTAATGAGTAATAAATAAAAACGTATTTAACCTTAGACTGATTAGAAGAGGTCAGCCTCCCCCAACCCCCAACATAGGAATTCTTTGTGTAGCCCTGGCTAGCTCTATAGAACAGGCTGTCCTTGAACTCACAGAGATCTGTCTGCCTCTGCTTCTCGAGTGCAGGTACTAAAGGCCTGCACTGCACCACAGCCACCTAAGAGGTTGTTTTATCTTGAACCACACCTAGGTTACACAGATAGGAGATTCATGAACTTAGGTATAAATGTTCATTCTTTTGGTAATCTGTCTGCCCATCTCGTGTTATAGTAGATGCATTGTGCGGAGCAGCCTGGTAGGAGAAGCATCACTGACTCTTGGGACTTACTGATATCTAGCTCCAATAACATTTTGTCTCAGCTCTTTCAAACCCCACTAATCATCTAAGAATAGCTAAGCAATTCCTCCTTTGTGGTTCTGCAATCCTGTGTTCATCTCGTTAACCATCATTCGATTGTGCCCACGATGTACCACGTTAGGAAGAAAACTAAGATGCGAAGGCAAAGAGATATCGTTGATCCTCCAAGAACATAATCTACTCAAGAGGACAGCCTAGCAACCCCATGACAGGACGCTGCTGTCACGGGCAGGCAGTAGCGGTACAGTGGGAGGACAGGTGAACAGCGTTGTAGCCCTGTGCTGTGTAGGTGAGCGTGGCGAGGAAGCCCGTGAGTGCCGTGTGGGTGACACACTGACAGATGGTAGGCTGACATTTGGAGACACTCTGGTTCCTCTTTGAGAAGACGCTGCTAATCCGTGGTGGATTTGGGTTCTTTGTGGACCGTGATCTCTCTTAGAGCAGTGATTGTGTTTTAGTCATGCTATATCTAGTGCTCTGCAAAGGATGAAGGGAGACGGCGGATTATAGAGAAATGTGATGAAACTAATTTGAGCGATAGACGATGGAAGATAAACATCCTTAATCATCAGCTGTCAGGCGAGGCACAGGCAGTCTTCCATGAGAAGGTGGCATGTATCTTGGCAAGGCCATGTAATCCCTATTTTGGTAAATATTTTGATGCTTAAAGCAGTTCCCAAGATGTTCCTATCATGAACACAGTGTTTTCTCATGATCGACAGTATCTAAATCTGGTCAAAAGTGATTTAGAGGCTGAATCGGGCTTTAAAACAATAGTCTGCTATGCTAAGGCACATCTTGGTAAAAGGGGACCATGATCCTACTCTGAGGCAGAGAACAGAAATAGCTTTTGTTCCAGCGCAAACAGTCACGTGTACGTTTGCATTTAGCACACACAGACTTGGTTTATATCATCAAAGAGTTGCCGCAGCTTCCAATCAAAGAATAATGTGTGCACTCACTTGCGGCAGGAGCTATCGGTCACTACTTAGAGTCTTCAGCAAAACTGCTATGGGGCCAGGGTGACACCAAGGGACTGCTGGTTGCAGATGTACATTTAAATGAGTGTGCAATGACAAAAGCAACAGGGTGTGCTCAGCTGAGTTCTCAACTGGGAATAGAAGACCTGGAGTCTGAGTCCCAGCTTTGTGGGTACCTGGGTGGAAGAAACAATTTTTATTAGCCTGCCTACCTCACTGGGAAGGGATCAGGAACACCCGAGATCATCAGTTCAGAACGACAGCATCTGCCTTCTGTCTCAGGCATACTGTATTTGATGAGTAAAGGTCCTGCCTCCTCCTATTATGAAGCTGTAAATCAAGTAGGCCAGACAGGCATTAGACAAACTATTTCAAATACTTGTTGAAGATATGTCAGTTCTATGAAAAAAAATGATATGAAGTATTGCAAGGGACATGATGATAGCAGAAGGTTCTAGAAGGCCTTACCTGAGGAAATAGTAAAGAGGTTAATTTACCTATGACCCATGGGATTTATAGTTAGGAGGGAAGCTGATGGTGATATTTTGTCTCCCTAAACACTCTGCTTTATATCTAGGGTTGTGTCTGGAGAACAGGTCTCATTTGTTGTGTGATCTGTGCAGGGAGGTTGAGGGAAAAGATTTGGGAAATGTTTTCCTTTCTTTCTTATTAACCACCAGTTTGCTATGTTTAGAAATAGTAGATGACTTATCATGCCCTATTGTAACACAAGTGTGCTGTGGGACAATGGTCATGTACCCTGTAAAGGTTTGTCAGTTGTACTGGTTTCATAAAATGCTGATTGGCCAGTAGCCAGGCAGGAAGTAGAGGCGGGGCCACCAGAATAGGAGAATTCTGGGAAGAAAGGCTCAGTCTGCAGTTGTCACCCCAACACAGAGGATGCAAGATGAGAATGCCTCACTGCTAAAACGTACCAAGTTATGTGGCTAACACAGACAAGAATTATGGGTTACTGTAAGATGTAAGAATTAGTGAATAAGAAAGCCTGAGCTAATAGGCCAATCAGTTTATAATTAATGTAGACCTCTGTGTGTTTATTTGGGACTGAACGACTGCAATATTGGGAGGGACAGAAACCTCTGTTAACATTAAATTAAACAAACAAACAAAAATAGGAAAGAGAATATGCCCCTTCCCTGGACCAGAAACACTTCACTGCAAAAAGAATAAATGTTTTCAGGGCAGAACACAAGGATGAAATTGTTTGGGCGATGTTCCCATTTCTGAGCTATAGCAACGCAATTTTAAAGCTCTTTTGTTTTCTGCTCTGCCAAGCTGATCCCTGTCTTATGCCTCTACAGTTACAGATCTGGGACACTGCAGGTCAAGAGAGATTTCGTTCAATTACCCAAAGTTATTACCGAAGCGCCAATGCCTTGATCCTTACCTATGACATCACCTGTGAGGAATCCTTCCGTTGCCTTCCTGAGTGGTTGCGAGAGATAGAACAGTATGCTAGCAATAAGGTCATCACTGTGCTAGTGGGTAAGTAAAGGCTAATCAGGAAGGGGATTGATTGGAGTGCATCATACAATGTATGCTCACATAACGCTTATGTGCTGGTACCTTCCGAGAACATGCTATATGGTTACCCGAGTTATATAATCATCATTCAGTTGTACAACCAAGGAGGACATGAAGTAAGTTCTATCCCATGGTGATAATTTAGAAAAATAAACAAAAATATTGCTCGTTTTCCTATCAGTGTAGGTGAAAGTGTTACCAGATGGTGGATACTGCTGGTGTAAAAGTAAAAAATTACCACCCAGCTTCCCATTGTTCCCTCATTGACACAGGAGGCATCTTCAAATAAGCTCCCAAATCCTTTTGATGTAACTCCAGGAGTCTGAGATAATTTCCCTGCTCTCTGATGTGACATAAGGCAAATTCTCAGGCATATCATTTCATGCCCCAGACCTAGAAGTGACCGTGTCTTTAAGAGGTGGTATGTCTGTCTAATTAGAAGCCCCAGCCTCAGTATTGGGTTCTCCTTACTTGTAGGTCACCATTTCTAAACTTTTCGGCATTGGAAGCGACATGTGTGCATGAATATGGTGAATTGTGTTGTCTTATTAGGTTCAGCAAGTTGTATTCTGATTCACAGGACAATCTTAAACCACGTATGAAGTCATGTTCACTTAGGGAGATTCAGGACAGCTCATCTGACTCAGTGGCAGGTTGGCATTAGGTGTCACAGTCCTCTTGGCAGGCCTGGACAACCCAGGAATGAGGAGACAAAGTCCATCTGTCACAGGTACAAGAGATGCACTGGCCTCTGTGTCCCATAGGAGCGGCTCCAAGAACATAACTTATGGGAGTTTTTTTTTCAATGGGGAATCAACAGTCAGGAACCTCCAATGTTATGGCATTCTACTGGTGCTTTTAATCCACGCACAGAGGAACTTATCAATTGGCTCTTTTAGGCAGTGTTACCAGGTAGCGTAGTTGACTCTTGTCAGCCTGCCTAGAAAACGGTGTAGGAAACTTTTAAAAGATAAAAATATAAAATATACCATGAATTATTCATACAGCTACTTAGATCTATAATTTAAAACTGCAAATTTTTTACTTAGCATCATTAATCTCATACCCTTATTTCATCTTTCTCTTGTCAAAAATACCAGTGCCAAGTGACGTCAGCATAATTAATGACTTGTTTTATCCCGTAATACATACACAAGAGCCTCCTCATCTCAATACCAGCTCTGCCTTTACAAGATGATTACTGAATGAACCCAAGACTTTGTTCTTCAAATCCTTTTTGCCCTTAAACACCTAAGGACGCAGGGTTAAGTCATGTTTTCAATTTACTTGAAATAATTGTCTATACCCATGTCTCTCTATATGACAAAAATGTTTAATACTTACAAATTGATTTAAGTTTTAATTTTGTGCTAATTACATAATTGTATTGTTTATTATGTAAAATGTAAGCTTCTAAAGTCAAATCTGTAAGGCAGAATATGTTCAGAGAGGTCTGGTTTCTGTCCCTATGCTCTTTACCTTTTGTCTTTCTGGGCAACCATTGTCTTTTTTTGTTTTGTTTTTTTAAGACAGAGTTTCTCTGTGTAACAGCTCTGGCTGTTTCAGAGCTCGCTTTGTAGACCAGGCTGGTCTTGAACTCACAGAGCTCCTCTCCTGTTCTTCTCTGGAGTGCTGGGATTAAAGACATGTGCCACCACCACCCGGGCTGTAGCCTAGCCTTTGTCTTTTAAATTACAATCTTGGTTTATTATTTTCTTAAAAAATAAGAAAAGAGGGGGCTGGAGAGATGGCTCAGTGGTTAAGAGCATGGCCTACCCTTCCAAAGGTCCTGAGTTCAGTTCCCGGCAACCACATGGTGGCTCACAACCATCTGTAATGAGGTCTGGTGCCCTCTTCTGGCCTGCAGACAGAATATTGTATTGAATTGAACTCAGGACCTTTGGAAGAGCAGGCAATGCTCTTAACCTGTGAGCCATCTCTCCAGCCCCTGGCTTCTTTTCTTTACTGGGTTGAATACTTGTGTGCATACATTGTACTTCATACAAGTGATGTGGGTTGTTTCCAGTCTTCGTCCTTACAAATGGCGCTGGTATGTTAGAATGAACATTCCTGTGATCATGGACACATTTGCTTTTCTTTGCCTGCCCATCTGTGTAATCTGCCCATTGACTTCAGGTCTGGAATTGAATCTTGATGCTTCTCCGCCTACACAGTCCAGTGACGATTCTTTCTCTAATTTACCATCGTTCTAGGCAACAAGATTGACCTGGCTGAAAGGAGAGAGGTCTCCCAGCAGAGGGCAGAGGAATTCTCAGAAGCTCAGGACATGTATTACCTGGAGACTTCAGCCAAGGAATCCGATAACGTGGAGAAACTCTTCCTTGACTTAGCATGCCGGCTCATCAGTGAAGCAAGACAGAACACACTGGTGAACAATGTATCTTCACCCTTACCCGGAGAGGGCAAAAGCATCAGCTATTTGACTTGTTGTAATTTCAACTAAAGGCTGAGGCAAGGAGAATCAAAGGGAATCAGTAGTTGCCTTGGTGGGCCGTGTGTTGCTAGGGAGTCTGGCAATGACAGTGGCTCCCGCTCTTGGACCTTCTGACTCCTGTAGGCTCCAGAGCTTACAAAGCATGCAGGCCAAGGGCCTTGACTGCAGGCCAGCATCATCAGCAGAACACATAACGGTTCCAGCCTTTTGCAGTCTGGCATTGGAGCAAGGAGAAAATTGCACTAAGCGCTCCATGATCTGCAGAGCATGTTGCTTTTATTTTTAAAAAAGCAAGTAAAAATGCATTCCTGAACACAGTGCAGGGGATCACGTACTGTGGGAATCCCTCCTGTGTGTCAGCGGGTACATGTGGGGCTGTTCTTTAGATTCAGTGGTAATCTGGTGCCCATGGTTTTCTTGTCTACCAGGTAAACCAAAACTGGAAAGGCCAAGTACTGTCTCTGTGGTCCTTACTGATAACCCCATGGAGATTTTGAAAAGTGTTGTTTCTTCGGTCCACAAGCACTTTCAAAACCTTTGGGATGTAAAAACGAAAACTCATCTCATGGCCAACAGTAAAAATTATTGTTTATAATAACATATACAAGCTCCATGACTCCTTTTGGTGCTAATCATTATGGTATTTCACAGACCAAACGTTTTACTATATTGATACCCTTAAATGTATTACCTACAAATAAAAAGAAAACGGGGAAAACCCACGAATCAGCAGTCTTTCTCAAAGCCTCGTTACCATGTTTGCTAGGATGGGTTTATTTTTCCGTATTCTCCTGGGAATTTCTTAACTTTGTTATATTCTGTCACACTTTTCCTGCCCTTGAAGGTAATCAGAGTCTGAAAAAAAAATGGGGAAAAACACAATGGGTGATGACATTGTAATAAAAAAAAAGATGAGTTATGAGACATTCTGAGCAGATGAGAAAACAGAGCAGACATGACCAAAATACTGTGGAATATGGACTGACTGCAGAGCAGGCTTCCAGACAGAGCACAGTCCTGGATAACAAGTCCCACCTTATCCTTTCTGGAACTATCCTTGGAGAGACCAAGGCCTGGGATTTTATAGACCTTTGTAGTATGACAAGTGAGGATAGCAACAGATGAAAAGTTTTGCAAACTGTTTTTGTATCTTCAGTGAGCTTAGGAAAGGCCTGCTTAGGAAGCAGGCTGAGGTGTCATTTATCATATAAATGTATCTGATCTCAGATTCATGGCCATTCATTCTTTTCCCTTTGTCTTGTCTTTCCCTGGTCTCACCTTATTGCTCTCCTTCCTTCCCATCCTGGTATGCACGTGTCACTGCAGATCTCCAGTTCAGATGGAGGTCTAATGCCTTTACTTAGCCAACTTCAAGACAGGTCTCACGTTGGAGGAAGTGCTGCTGAATGAGGTCCTGATCTCCAGTGCCATGGTTCCGTACCTTCCGAGTTGTTCACGCTCATGAATGTGGATTGCGACCTTAATTAAACCTGTACGCCATGGGTGCCGGCAGGTGTTTCTGTGGCTTGCCGTATAGCATAGCTGAGGGATGAATCACTGAGGGAGGATGTGACGTGTAGTTCCGCTGTTGGTATTGATGGTGACGGTCTTGGACCTGAGGCGTCGCTCTTGGGAAGCTGACTTATAAAGCAGTAGTCAGCGCAGGAGGATATTGTTAACACGTTTCTGGCGTCCCTCTAGCGACTCCATCATGTTCAGTCTCCTTCACCTGGAACCGTGGGTGTTACCACCCGTCCTTGCTATCGTGATTGGCTCACTATGTGTTTCCTGATTCTATAAGAAAGAGAGAGGCTTCCTAAAAAGTTCTAACTGCCTGTCCTGGATTCAAGAAAGAGAAAAAAAAATCACTTTTAATTGAAAAATCAAAATCATTTTTAATTACCATGACTTCTCTATGAAGCCAGCAACCAAAGGCATCAAAAGATAAACTAATCAAGCTTTCAGAAGAATTTATCTTTCTACTGTGAGAGAATGTCCCTAAATTTAGATTTATTACTTCTCTTTACCGCTGATCTCCTCAGCATGTGATGGCTCAGCCTTGGTTCACAGCAGCGTTAAAAGTAACGATGCTTGGTGAACTTTAAGGCTTTGTCAGAGTGGACTAATTTAGTTCCGGAGGACCTGGAACTGGTCACGCTTAAGTTATGGTATTCTCATTCGTTTATTTCTCAGACTTACAGCGCCCCCTTCTGGCCCTCCCGGTTAAGCAGGCTTTCAGCAGATCACAGTCATCAATTCTTGGCCCATTAGTGGGGACACCTGAAAAGCTGGGCCCTTACGTTCCACAGTTCTGTGAATTTCAGATCAGGCCTTTTGGATATTCGTCTAGCGATGTATCTCAAATTTGAGAACAATCCTTGAAAATATTATAGGTGCAATAAATACCAGTTGAATAAATGATTCATTGCCAAGATGTTTTTTGTTTGTTTAAATGAAGGTCTTTAAAGTGGTAACTGAAAAAAAATCATCTTAATCTAGGGCAGGACATAAATATAATTTTGCCTAATAATTCTTATTGGCAGGGAAATATCTGCTCAGATAAGCCCCTTGTACACAAAATTATTTAATAGTGGAAAAAAACCCAAGATTTGTCTTATTGTAATGTAGTTTGTCTTATCCTGACAAGACCATCTCTTATTTCCATTTGTGATATGATCTTTTTTCTTCTTTTAATAGAATTATTAAATATACAGCAATATTTCGTAGCTTTCAATGAAAACACATGTTCAGGATCTAGAGCCAAGCTTAGAAAAGATCTACGGCATCATCCAGTTTTCTGGCTCGGCTTTGCATATACCATATTCTCAAAGAACTTAGTGGTTTCTCTCTCCCGTACTCAAAGCTGTGCTCCTTTGTATTCTTTCATTAGATCTGTTAGATGGCATTAATATTTAATTATATAGAGCCAATTATCTTTTGTGTAGACGTCTACATTTACATCATTGGCTTTTTTTCTGGCTTTCATTTCTCCCCCATATTCTTGTCATTTTTGATGTCAGCATCTTTCCCTAGGTGATAAGACAATAACCAAAAATGAAATAAATGTATTGGCATGACAGTATGTCAAGCTCTGGTTGTGAAATTATTAAGAAACCACTGAGCAAGACAGGATGCTGAGACTAGTGTGATTCAAAACAGTGAGACTTGATGGAGGGAGGAAGCAGAATCTCGATATTCTCTTCATGAAATAGACCTTGGCAGGACCCTAGTGACTTCCGGTGTTAGATCAAGGATTTGCCAGTCTACTCTTGGAGCTATCCACAGCATCCACTTTCAGTTAGACTAATTCTGAAAAAAAAAAATCAGTTTGTAAGTCAGGTTGATATTGTCCACGAGCCCTCCCCCCACCATGTATCGTACCAGTGGCCTTAAAGATGGGGAAAGTTTCTAAGTCTTAGTCCTACAGAGTGTTGTGCGTCACGTGGCCGTACATACAGAAGGATCACTTTCCTGTTAGCTTCTGGAAGAAGTAGGTTTGGATGTTTTAAGAATTTTTAAATGCCGTGTTTTGCTTTCTTCCCTAAACCACCGTCTTGATAGGTACGTTTCATATCTCCTCCTTCCGACAAATGCATTCCACACAGCAATTACTGTTAACAGTAAACGAAGATATATTTTCTTCTCTGGACTTTCTGTTCCTGTGGAATGAGTCTGTCTCTATTTGGAAGGAACAGTTGCCTTTCCTTACTGTACACAAGGCAATCAGTCATTAATATTGGATAATGGAGCTGGCGTTTCATCTCCTTCCTAAATCTCAGGATGTTCGTGCTACAATTACTCCTGGGAGGCACTGCTTTTTACCTTTTGTCTATTTTTTTTTTAAGACCAGATCTCAGTCTACAGCTCCAGAAATCAGGCTGGCATAGAAATCACAATGTAGTTCAAGGCTGGCTTAGCACTCACTCTCTTGCCTCAGTCTTACGGGAGTATAGATGTGAGCCACCGTGGCTAGCTTGGTGATCTTTGAAATTAAAAACAAATGGAGGGATAGCTGTTTAAATGAATTTAACATTTAAGATAATTGACATTATTTGAAGGATTTTTTAAAATAGGCTGTGGCATAGAGAGAGGAGTAAATTTATAACTTCACAGTTCAAAGAGGAAGAATGAAGTCCACCACACAGAAGCCAGAGAGCCACAGACTGGGCTCTGTGTCAGGGAGAATTTCTCAAAAAATTGGAACCCTCTGGTAGTGGCTGTCTTTCTGTCAAGCAAAGGGTAGATACAAAGTGTGTAAAGAAAATGTGGAGATGACCGACATTGTTGACTGAGGCTTCACCCAGATGCTTTATTAACTCAAATATCTAAATTGTAAATTTTTTTATGCTCAAATATGTTGAACCAATATTAAAAAAAAGCAAAGGCTTTTTTTTTTTTTTTTTTTTTTTTTTTTTTTTTCTGTCACAAATGCACTGTCCTTTAGGGGAAAAGTTGGCTGTATGTCCTTAGGCCGAGAGACTGATCTGCCATTAAGTCCTAAACTAGAAATGCCTTATCAGCCACTGTTGGAACAAAGTGGTTTCTGTGTTAAAAATGGAAGCAGATCATCATTTAGGCTGGAGGTATGTGGAATCATGGGAACTATCCATCTCATTTGGCTTAATAAACAGTGCATCCTCCTCAGGATTTTGTACGTGTTCTAGCAGAGGAGGATCTTCCGTCCCAGAGTCCTCCAGTAGACCAGTGCTCCATGAGGAGGGCAGGAGGCCCCTGGTAGAAATCCACCCCTAAGATCTGCTCGAGGAAGTCTCCAGTGACATCTGAGAGGTTTCCTTGATTCTGGGAAAAGTGAGGTTGAAAGGGCGAAGGCTAATCTGCTTCACGTGCAAACTAACAAAACAGGCCTTTAACTGGAAAATAAACTAAAAGCAGTTTTTTGCTGATTAAAATGTATAAAATCCTGTTTGTAAAATAGCTTGCACCCTTTGCAGTCTGACAGGTGCCTCCTCCTTAGTCTTTGCAAAAGGAAACCATTGTGTGTGAATCAGTACGGGGAGAAACATACTTGAATTTGGCTTCATCAGGTGTGTAAGTTAATTTTTTTTTTTTTAACCTTTCCCACTGGTTTGAAGCAGAATGGCAGATGTTGAGCCGCGTTCCTGGTCAGTGGCAACTCTAGAGGGTGATGTAGGGAGAGGTACAGAAGTGGAACACTTCTAGGTTAGCGGTGCGCAGCCCTGCAATAGTAAGGTTAGTGGAGGCTGTAGGCAAAGCTTGAACAGGAGTTTTCTCATTTATGAGCTGGACCTGTTAGAAATACTCTGAAATTAGATTAGCGACATTAAAAATATGTTGCTCAGCAAACAGGAAGAACTCAAATATTAGGGTTTTTGTTTGTTTGTTTTTGTTCTGTTTTGTCTTTTCTCTACCTAGATTAGACTTTGTAAGTAGGGACAGTGACACAGTGACCTTAGTCCCAGGTACTTGGGAAGTTGAGTTGGGAGCAAAGGCCACAAAGGGAGACTCCATCGCAAGGTTTTAAGAAATGGTTTGGGGCCAGGTGGTGGTGGCGCACGCCTTTAATCCCAGCACTTGGGAGGCAGAGGCAGGCGGATCTCTGTGAGTTCGAGACCAACTTGGTCTACAAGAGCTATTTCCAGGACAGGCTCCAAAACCACAGAGAAACCCTGTCTTTAAAAACCCAAAAAAAAAAAAAAAAAAAAATTAAAAAAAAAAAAAGAAATGGGTTGGGGCAGTCTGTGACAAAGAATTCCATCTCTACAAGGAAATCTCTGATTCACTTTGTTTCTTTACATACATCTTGAGAGACATTCAGTCTCAACAGCCGATTCCAGGGTTGTAAATTCCTTATTATCAGGAAATCTCTCTTGGAACTGAAATACCTCACAGTGCAATGCAAACCTCCTCTTGATCCCGGCTGGTTGTTATCTTTAAGGGGTCACATTCTGTCTATTCCTGCCTTTGTTTATTGTTGAAAACTAAGTCATAAAAGCCTGTTAAGGTGGTTGTTGTCATCCCCTTGGCGAACATCAGGGTAGTTGTTGATCAACTCTTAGTTTCTTACTCGGATCAGATTTAGATAACTATGTCGTTGCTTAGCTCTTCAATTATCCCTGCAGTTCTCCCTTTAATAGTAATGTATAATGGATGACCAAGTGAGAGTAATTCTGGCTGTGCGGCTCTTCCTTCCATCTGTAGGTAAGACTGGAATCACAGCTGGGCAGTGGTGGTGCACACCTTTAATCCCAGCACTCGTGAGGCAGAGGCAGATGGATCTCTGTGAGTTTGAGGCCAGCCTGGTCTACAGAGCGAGTTCCAGGACAGCTAGTGCTGTTAC